CCATATTTTCGTTTTTTTTCAGATTTTTTGTTATGCTTTATATATTTGTTCTTGATCGCTTAAATAGATTTGTCGAAACTGTCGTTTTTTATTGTTTCAGGCTTTCAGATGTCAAAACAATGGCGGACCGCATTATTCAGATGCGGCGTAGACTAGTTGAGCTACTTAATCACGCTGGTTCCGTTCATAATTGGCGTCATATTACCGATCAGATTGGCATGTTCTGTTATTCTGGCCTCAAGCCTCATCAGGTATAATCATATTCAGTGTTACGAGCTTGCATAATTCTAATCCAGAGATATCTATATTTCAAGAGATATTGCTTTTTTAATTAATATATTTGGTTGATTATTTGTATGCTCTGTTGAGACCTTTTATTCGTATTTTTTTTAATTCCTTGGATTTGAGAGGAATCATTTTATAAGAATTTTTAGGTTTAAAATTACTCAGCCTTACAACATTTTTGGAATGCTTTCTTTGCCTTAACAAGTTCTGTTATTTTACTAGGTTGAGAGGCTTACTAAAGAATTCTCAATTTACTTGACAAAGGATGGCCGGATTAGCATAGCAGGTGTCTCAAACAAAAACGTTGAATACGTGGCAAATGCTATCCACGAGGTGACCAAATAAGCTAATTGTTCCAACGCATTATTAACTCGGTTGATGACGCCCTTTACACTTAGACTATCTACTCCTGACTAACTTGCAATCATGAATCACTGTATTTTGCCTCCTTTACTATACCTGATATGCGCCACTATGTATTGTATTTATTTTACTAATTTCATAAACACGAATTAAAATTCAACACGAACATGCTTCTGACATTTACTATGCAGCCCTTTCCGCAACTAATATTTTAGGCCTAACTTTTATTATGTATATATATACTCAACTGACGACTTGTCTACGAAGAAACAGATAGAACAAAACCTCCCTAAGTGACGCTTGCAGTTTAACGCAAATTATGTGTTGGGTTGGATTATTAGGGAGACATTCTAATCGTGCACATAAACTTTGCAGTGAGGATGAGATTACAGATGCAATCAATCCAATGGGGGAACAATAGGAGCCCCGTCCAGTTGATTGACGCTCATTGTCAGTTTTCATAGAAGTGGATATGCTTGATGATCATTGAAATTATGAAAGTGTAGGAAGAGATTCGAAGAAAAGGATGGCTAGTTTAATTCTGCTGTGGCTTTAATGCGACGTTCTTGTTGATACAATTTACGAAACATCCTTTCTCGCTTTGGGTAAGAACTATATGAGCTTTCGTTCATCATATGATAGACATCGTCAGAGCTGCAACTCATTCTTGTAAGGGTCATATCAACACTAGGTCAACAAGACTATCCGGCTGTCTTAACTCTTATTTATGCCCATGACTAAAAACGAAAATTAATAGGCATAAATACAGGATGGCTTGGCTAGTTTCATATTGGTTCTGCTACCTTTGCCTGCGTGTGTGTTTAACGTCTGTAAATATCGGTGATCGAAAAAGGCTGTCAGGCTTCGATCATCAAGGCTTAATGACCCAAGAAAAACCTATAACGAAGACTCCTAAAAGTAAGTATGGTAAGTGAGAGTGTAAGGAATGTTACAAAACGATCTGTCCTAATCTCAGTCTAGGACCATAATGATTTAACAACCCAAATAAAGGCTGCATAGACTCGTACGTCTGGTTTGATTGATGAGCTTAATCTAACATGTTGGACGGGTATAAGTGAGATATAAACGTCACAGTGGACAAGTTAAGTCGCTTTCTTTTGGATTGCGGCTCAACATACTCTTTATTAACCAAGCCTAAGCAGTCTACTCAACTTCCTGCCACGATTCCTCTCATTCAATACATTCCTTAGTCTCTTAATTTAAATTGCCTCTTATCTTCCTTTTACGAGCAGACAGCATAATCAGCAAGTCTACTAGTTTGAGACGATTCTATCTGATTTTCAGTCTCTGCCATATGTTCCGCCACGTCTAACTATTGGACCAAGCTCCCAGCATGCTTGGGTTCCCTTAATTTTTGCCGAATTTGTCAACATGTCTCACCAACGTAAGCTTAGCCACAGCAGCACACTGAGCAGTCAGATCTCAATAATGGGTCATATTTCTATCTAAACGATGGGGGTGAGGGTTTCTTTATACCATGTTTTTATCCCCAATTCGCTCACTAATTCGTCTAGATTTTTAGTAAAAAAAGATCACAGCTAAACTATAACATCAAAATAAGTCTCAGCTTATTTATCTTCGGATAATGTCTCCAAAAATTTGTTCCTTAGTAGAGATATTATTATCATTAGTAAGTCTAGTCTCATACTCCTAATAATTATTCAATTACTTTTGTAATTATTTTTGGAAAGAAAATTAAGAAAAAAAGTCAACATATTGGATTTCTATAAATACACTTTATGACTTACCCTCTTTTCTAATGATGATAACATACAAAAAGAGTAACGAATTATTCTCTTCCATTTCCATCGTGGCCTTAATGTTCCTTTCACATTGAAAGTAGGAAACTATCCAAGCCTTCCTTACCATGAGGCCAGATGACAAAATAGTCATATATATATCTAACGGACAATTTGGGGGTTAGTACTGCTCGATATGATACGAGTGAAGCTAGGTAGTTCATCATATAAACCGGAAACGTTAACCACTAGACCTCACTGACACGACTGTCCCTAAACAGATTTGAATTTCAAGAAAGGCCAAACATTTACCCATATTACATTCTGTGTCTGAAGTGTCCATAAAGCAAAGCTGTATCTGCTATAGCCATCGATTAGATTACTTGTCCTTTGTTGATATATACGTAGGTTTTCGAGATTACCAGTAAATCGTGTATATGCGACATAATCACCCTTTTTCGTTAAAGTTATGAATTATCGAATGTTCTTGTTGGGAAATGTGATATAGAGTGGTTATATATAGAATAGTTTGATTATCGTAACTATTTATAATCAGACGAAAGGGCAAGAAAGGATCTGTAATCCAAGAATATAGTTGAGTTCTATACTAAAAATGCTTTAATTCAATCGGCTTTAGTCGGTAATTTTCAGATGGAAGCAACGAAACTTCCGTGCATTTTTGCATGATCAGCTTTCCGCAATGGCCCAAAGTATGAGTAACTTCTGAGTTCATTAATCATAGGATGCCTCATTTCATTAACAGAT